AACCATTAATAATTGTTAGTATTTTCCTGAAAGTGATTACTATACCGCTATTATATAAGAAGACATCATTTTCAGGTCATACATGATAGGGTGTTTATGATGTCTAACACAGTGTCAAATGGTTCAGCAGATGTTTAGAGAAAGATAGTAGAAAACGCATGTTTATTAAGAAAAGAAAGGTAAAATTAAGATTATCAGTGGAGGTTGACATCAGGGTATATTTTTGTGATTGCCATTATTTGTTTATTTTCCTTGACTAACAGTCATCATTATATTCTTTGGCTATCCTTACTCTTGACCTGTAAGCCACAATTCCCAAAGATAGACTTACCCAATTGATGGCTGAGTATGTTGTCCTTTACTTTCTTTGTTTCTTTTTGTCAGTTTGTTTTTATCTTACAGGACTTCTGGGGATCTTTTTTAAGTACAAGTAGGTACTTGTAGCACAAAATAAATGTAAGTAAATTCTGTCTTCTGGGGGAACAAGGATAGCATCGTGAAATGAGGTGGTAGTACTTTTTCCAGACTGATCTTGAACGCATGCCCTGGTGACCAAGTGGCTCACATCTGGGAGCAGCTGAGACTACAGCACCAGCTTCTGCCACAAGCAGTTAATGGTGTGAGTTTGGCACTTAAACACACTGGTCTCATACCACTTGGAGCCTAGTAAGTTGACAGCTTCTCATGCAGAATACAGGAAAAACCAGTTTCTTAGAATCTGCCCAGCTTCACTGAGAGGTCATTTGCAGCACAGCTCCATAGGGAGCAGGAGAAAGGGCTTGCTCTCCACTTGATGTGGATTGGAGATGATAGCAGAGCTGTCGCCTAGGCCTGCCTGCCATCTCAGTCATGCCTGAGGAGAGCCCAGACCCCAGGCCTTTAGTCCTCTGGTTAATACAGAATCTAAGTGAAGGGAAACTGCCCTGGTGTGGGCTTCAGAGCTCACTGTCTTCAAATGTGACACACCAGTAGCTGATATCACTGCACTTGGACCCACCTGCGAGGACCGGGCACCCGCTACCAGGAGGCCAGCCTCTGAATGGGGCTCCTCAGAGTAGCACACTCAACCTTCGGTGGACAGACCTGTTTTCCTTCCTACAGAGATTACTACTCAGTGTGGTAAAATGTCGTTGGATGGTAAATATTATTTTATTTGATTGCTGACAAAAAAAAAATCAGACTCACTGGAAATTTTCAATTTCTGTCTTCTCTTGAAAAACTAGAATCTGAGAAGCCTGAGCTAGAACCAAATTTCTGACACCACCTTTAGTTGGCTGCATTCTCTAGCTGTAGTCCCACCCCTCTTACTCCCTTTTATGCAGCCTGCTTCCTTCACTCCCCTAACTTTTTTGGACCCTGTAATCAACAGTCCTTGAGTTGCACAAGCTCCAATTGGATGGGGCTTTCTGGGAATGGCTCCAGAAATTTGCCTGTATACTTTTTATACTTTCTTACAATGAACAAAGCATTTGTTTATAAGAAAAAGAAAGGAAAAATGTCTAATTTACCACCTAATAGTAAATACAATTTTGAAATTAGCTTATTAATAATTGAATAGCTTTTCCAAAGAACAGCATATATGGAATTTCATCAAAACTGTGAGGCAGTGACCTAGTTTAGAATGCAAAAAAAAAAAAAAAAAGATCTGCTTCTGCCTTGTAATAAGAGGAAAAGTCCAGGAAAGTTATGACTTAACCACAATTAGGTCAATTATTACAAATTATTAAGCATCATTATTAAAATTAAATTATCAAAATTAAGTCTTTACAAGAATCAAATTACCAACATCTTTACAAAGTGTTGGCTGACTGGTATTTTCTCATTTTTTTAAATGATAACAATGATGACAACTATGATGATGAGACATTTCTGAAATGCCATGGTGTTTTATAGCAACATCTTAAGAGAGACTGTCTGCTAGGTCAGGTCCTACATATCCATAATCGAAGATCCATCCATCAACCCTAATAAAAACAACCATATTATGTGTCCAGAGCACAGGATCCCGTGCTGTTCTTCCTTTCCTTAGTTTGCTCAGAAATAAAACTAATCACACATGTGCTGAATTGAAGGCTGTGAACTGATGGAGACAATTGGTGGTAGGACATTGGACCAGTCATCAGGTGGGGCATCATTCCTGCTAACAACTGAGCTGCTACCCAAACCGTATTTTCTTCAGGATGGTTGAAACTGTGAGGGGATGAAAGGACAATTATTTGCTTGTTTCTGATGCTGCAGTGATTTTTTTGTGAGCCAGACAGAGAATGTGGGGCTGTGTTCACAGTGCCCTTGCTCCTTTATAGTCTTGTGCATTTTGGGCTGTGAGCACCCCTCTTCATTGTTCCAGCAGATCTCTCTCTCTCTCTCTCTCTCTCTCTCTCTCTCTCTCTCTCTCTCTCTCTGTCTACCTCTGTCTCTGTGTGACTGTGAGAGGGGAAAAGGTTGATTTTGAATACTCAGTCTCAACCATTCTTTTCAGACTCCATTTGATATATGTGTTGGGGGCGGTCATTCACCAAGATCCAGAAGCCATTATCTTCCATCCTTGTGGTCCATTGATTTTTAGAAATCATGATGATTTTTATTTGGAAAGGCAATGCATTGTGTATACCATGAGTATAACACTCCAGGATTGCCTGCTCCATCTGTACTCTAATCACACAAATTAACCTTTATGCAGTAAATTACACAGGGGAGAGCACAAGAAGGACTACACAAAGACCACAATCTGTATCTGTCAATCTTAGTGACCATCACAGATTTACCAAAATTTTCTGTATTTTGAAATTTTGGGAGTTTGACTTACAGAAATTATTACACACAGACACAGATACATAGACTAAATAGCTAAGGTATAGCAAAGTATGTCGGCCCTAAAAGCAATAGTGAAAGAATTGAACTAGTGGATGCTGTGAAGTGCTGGTAATGTCCAGAAAAGAGGTTCCGACCCACAAGGACAGCTGTCCTGAAGACTGACTTCACTGTGGAAGGGCCAAGAGTCACGGCCAAGCACTGGAGGCTTGACTGGTTGCTACAGATAGAGGATACACAGCCAGGATGTGGCAAAAGTAGAAGAGGGGGCTTGGAAGAGATGATAGTCAATGTGGCTAACCTGAGCCAGCTGTACTGGCATCATGCAGAACAGCTGAGAACACAGAAGCTAGGCCCACCCACACCTCCCGAATGAGAACCAAAGTCAAGGCTCACACAATTCGTGCACATTAAAAGGCTGGCAAACACCAGAATCATTTTCAGGTTTCTGATGACCTTCCGGGTTTGATTTGAATGGTTTTTACACTCACCATGTAGCTCAGGTACCCGTGGTGATCCTCCTGCCTCAGCCTCCCTGGTGCCGTTCAAAGGGGTTGCCTTAAGACTAAATAAGGGCAGCAAAGGGGCATTGTCTTCAGGAGATCATATGATATTTGAAATCTGGAGTTTTCTTTGTGCTCAGACAACAGAGACTTCCTCCCTGCTACAGGCACCCTCACTTCACTTCTGTGTAAGAAATATGCTTTTACAACCCCTGTCTAAGGAAGGCAGCTGCAGAAGTCTGTGTGTGAAGGAAGACTTCCTTGACATTAAAAAGGCCTTCCAATTTTCCAAGGCATAAAACAGATAAAATAGAAGACTTTTAAAAGGCAACTGTAAAGGTTTAAAAGACAAATAAAAATTGCAGTGAAAAGGGAAATAAGGAAGCCATAAAAAGGAGTCATAGCAGATGTTAAGGTTGTATATGAGTAGTGTTCACTTGAAAGATCCTCGCCAGGCTTCTCTTAAAGGCTATAATGGTCTAGATCAGTGGGAGAGGGTTTGCTTAGCATGTATCAGGTCCTGCGGAGAGAGGAGGGGGGAGAGCAAGGGAGAGAGGGAGAAGGAGAGAGCCAGATAGAAAGGGAGGGGAGGGGAGAGAAGGGGAGAGGAGGGGAGGAGAGGAGAGGGAGAGGAGAGGGGGGAAGGGAGGGGAGGGTAGAAGGGAGGGGAGGAGAGGAGAGGGAGAGGAGAGGGAGAAGGGGGAGGGGAGGGGAGGGGAGGGGAGGGGAGGGGAGGGGAGGGGAGGGGAGGGGAGGGGAGGGGAGGGGAGGGGAGGGGAGGGGAGGGGAGGGGAGGGGAGGGGAGGGGAGGGGAGGGGAGGGGAGGGGAGGGGAGGGGAGGGGAGGGGAGGGGAGGGGAGGGGAGGGGAGGGGAGGGGAGGGGAGGGGAGGGGAGGGGAGGGGAGGGGAGGGGAGGGGAGGGGAGGGGAGGGGAGGGGAGGGGAGGGGAGGGGAGGGGAGGGGAGGGGAGGGGAGGGGAGGGGAGGGGAGGGGAGGGGAGGGGAGGGGAGGGGAGGGGAGGGGAGGGGAGGGGAGGGGAGGGGAGGGGAGGGGAGGGGAGGGGAGGGGAGGGGAGGGGAGGGGAGGGGAGGGGAGGGGAGGGGAGGGGAGGGGAGGGGAGGGGAGGGGAGGGGAGGGGAGGGGAGGGGAGGGGAGGGGAGGGGAGGGGAGGGGAGGGGAGGGGAGGGGAGGGGAAGAGGAGAAAAAGAAAATATTAACTGAAAAAACAAACTCAGGCTTAGCTTCCCAGCCTCAACCAGAAGCCCCACCCTTAAAGTTCACTTGGACTCTCTGCACCACAGTCACCTCAACCCCTCAGCCCTGTTCATAGTTAATCTGGACAATTCCTGCTGTTGACATTACCCTAAGCGTAAGAATTGTGATCATTATACAGCACTGCTGTAAACTTTCCCAAATGCATGTGTGTGTGTTCATAGTTGTGCTCGTCTTAGTCCAAGTCCTCAGTCTTATTACACTACATGTGACCAGAACTTGATTTGCAGCTGTGAACAAATGGAATGTCCTACTAAATTGTTTTTCATCTTCACTGCAGATGACCAGTAAATGGCATCGTATGCCCATGTATCCTCTCTGTGGCAGTCACATGTCTCCATGAAAGAGTTTCTGTATGGGTAAGTCAAGAAATATAAACAACCTCAAACCTTGTCCTCTCTTGATGTCTCTCAGCTGCAGATGGAGCTGGAGCAAGAATACCAAGACAAGTTCAAAAGACTGCCCCTGGAGATTCTGGAGTTCGTACAGGAGGCCATGAAAGGGAAGATCAGTGAAGACAGCAATCACAGTTCTGCCCCTCCCTCCCTGGCCCCAGACCCTGGAAAGGGGAACCACAGGTCTCCCTCCAGTGAGGAAGTAGAAGGAGAGAACCCCGGAAGAGAGTTTGATACTCCTCTGTGATGTTCATGCCAGGCCTTCCAGATATGCACGGCTGCTTGAGCTCCTTCAGACTCTAATGACAAAGATCACTGCCCAGGGCCATCTTCATGAGAAGCACCCCTTAGCCTGAAATCCACACCAAATCGAGAGTTTCAGAAGAATCTGTGTAGAGGTCCCATACCCCAGTTCCATGTTTCATGTGGAAATGATTGCCAGTCTAGAGAGAAGGGTGCATGTATGCAGGATTTTTCTTTTTCTTTCCAATAGTAAATTAAAAGCAGGCAGCTCCCAGGCTCCGTGGAACATGTAATGAAGGACAATGTATTCTTTGAGGAAAACTCGAGCTCATGTCTTCGTTTGAAGCCCTGGTATAAAGTATTTCAAAGTAATAGAAATAGTTTGAGAAGTGCATAGCACCATTTCACACTATGGAACATCCCACTTTGACCATTGTTTCCCTAACTGCCCCGCAATTCCATGTTTTCAAGTTAATATGTATATTAAATTGTTTCATCCTTTGCTTTGCAAGCACTGGTGGCTTGCAGTTTGCTAATTTATTTATCATAGAGGCATTTGTATTTGCTGTTGACATGGCTTTATTAGATACCATAGTGACTCTTACAAGCTGGTTTCTTTTAGAAAACAAAACAAAACATCATTTGACTGTATCATTACCCAGTAAAGCCATTTCACTATTATATGTATGAATTGTATATTTGGCTGCACACCTTTGGGTATCTATTGGTTGTTGTCCTAAAATGATCAAACAGCTACAAAGGGTCTGTTCTGTTGTGTAAGAATTGATCTGATGTGTATTAATCAGGATTTCAGCTAGACTGAACAGGTTCCAGTGGGTTATTCTGTTGTCAGATATTTTTTTGTGGTTCATTTTACTGTAGAAAGGAAGATAGAATATTTATCTAAATGCACATGTATAAATGATACACATTATCTCCATGTATATATTACATGTATGCACCCAGCCACATAAGTGCACCCACACGCATACACACGCATGAGTGTACATGTGTGTTTATTAATTGGCAGTGACCCAAATCTCTTCCATAAGATTTAAAAGGAAGTTCAGGGATACATGGACAGAGAAGAAATGGGTCAAATATATATGTTACATGGATTGTAAATTATATGGAAATGCTAAGAATCAGTTTGTGGAGTTATTGGTATAACTTGAGGTAGATTTAGAATTTAGAATATAAATTTGCTAAAAAAATTGTAGGATCAAAATTGGATTTTAAGTGTCAGATTTTGAGGTTGTTTTAATGGCAGAATATGCAAAAATGCATAGGAAATAGAGTGCAAATGTATTACTACTATCTTCAATAAATTTTAACTGAGTAATTTCAATTATATTCTAACAGTAATAAAGCTTTGGTTATATTTTAGTTTGTATATTTGCTGCACTTAGTCATGTCTTTTTGAGTTTTTATTTTAAGGGGAATAAGAGAAACAAATTATATAATGTTAAATCTAATAAAAACACTAAAAGGTCTTAAGGAAAAATAATTATATAGAAAAATATGGTTTGGAGAGTGAGACAAAGAACATTAAAATCCAGCAGTGACATGCCTATAGCTTCATTATTATTTTAAAGCGAACCTGTCTGGTTATAATTTAGCAAAGCATTTTACAATGCAAAAATCAGTTGTGTCCTGAAATTTGTGTTTCAAGAATTTAATATTTTTATGGAAATGATTTTATTTAACTGTAAGCAATAACTAGGATCATAATTAAGTTTTAATCAAAATGAAGGCTTGCTTAGAACACCATGACAGTGTGTGATTACACACACACACACACACACACACACACACACACACACACACCTAGTGAAACACAAGGGGGAAAATCACATCCTCTTTAGAGATGATCGTATTTTCTCTGAAGAATCAAGAGTGTTAATTAGACACTCACTAAAACTTACCTTCCATGGAAGAGAGAGCTTTTGTAACCAATACTACTTTTGCACTTTGAAGGAAAGGCATTACTCAGAAAGAAATGAGAATGGTCCATATGGAATGCTGCATTTTACAAACCCAATTATAGACTGTTGAACATTGGAGAAGAATGAATTGATAACAGCATTCATAACCAAACACAGTCTTGGCTATTGCAGAACATTGGATTTCATCATAGTCCATATAGTGACTGAGGTTGAATAACCTTGACTTTCAAACCCTGTTTTGGTAGTTGGACTTCATTATCTTGGTGATTCTAGTCATTTTACAATGTTTTGTATTTGGTCATTTACTGTAATCACATTTTTATATCTGTACAGTGACACTTTTTGCAGTTGTGGGATAGTGTGTAACACTGTGCATCTTGCATCATTGAAACTACCGTGATACTATCCATTAATAATATTAATATTACTTGAAAATAGACAAGGGTAAAGAAAAGGGGTCTATATGATGTGCAGTTTTGTGCCTTTATGTATTTGCCTTGTTCTCTGTTGAATGTGTGAAATTCTGTACTGTGGTTTTTCCTATAGTAGAGAGTAGAGTCATGCATTAAATTAGACTGTGTCCTGACACCTTTAAACTACTGAAAATAATGTGGTTGGGCCATGTAAATCAGTGTTCAAAGTTCTAATGACTTGCCATGTGTTTTGGTTTTTAACATTGCAGTATCACCATACATTAATGAATACTCCTGTAATAGATAAGCAGTCATTAATTAAGTTCCAAAAGAAAGGGCCATTGCTTGCATTCCTTTGAATTTAATGTTGCCCTTGTGCACTGTGTTAATACTGTTGTGATGAATTGAACATTGTGACTTTTGCCTTTTAAGAAGAAAAAAGAGAGAGAAGGCAAAGGATTTGATGCTCTTAAAATGTACATATTTGGGTTCTATCTCAAATTATTTAAAATGCATAATTCACATTTTTGTAATCATTCTATGCAATTTTGTGGCATGATGTTTCTTCCACTTGTAATTTTATGTGCTTTCATCACAAATCCAAAGGAAACAATAAAAATTTCTTAACACAGTCCAGCTAGACTTTCTTAGAGTCAGAGCCCTCTTTATAGGGAGTACAATGAGGATAGACACCATGCCAGTCATTAGAGCATAAGGCCTGCCCTATACAACATACCAGTGCCCAGGCAGAGTAGACTCTGTGGTGCTGTGCAAAGAACACAGCTGTCACCATGGTAGTCCCACTGCCATCCTCCAGGAGTGATACTGTCCTTGCCACTGTCCCCATGATGGAGCTCCTTCTACCGTCCTTTGGCTTGCCCTTTCTTCTTTTTTTCTTAATCCAAGTAAGGCAAAAATGTTTTTGGCAAATAATGGAAACAAGGGAACAGAGAAGTTTTTAATGAAATATGTAGTATGTAGCACTGGTGAGAAAAGGAATGTACATGTGAGTTCTTTGTCTTTGTCACAAAGGCACCCCAAATGTAGCTTACCAATTATGGATTGCTGTGCTGTAAGTGACTCCAAATGATCTCTTGTTGGAGACTGAGTCAGGAATTCAAATAGGGCAGAGTTGAGAATGGCCTGCCTCTGTCTATCTGCAATTCCTGGAGAAGAGTGGACACTTTGGGAGTTTAGACACCCATACATAGATTCATCAGCTGGAAGGCTAGCTGGGGCTCTGGGCTAGAACACCATAATGCCCTTACTGTAGCGTAGGCTTTCTCACAATAAGGTGGTTGTGATCCAGAGGTGAGCCTTCTGAGACATCAGTGGAAGGAGTGGTGAATATTATTATTACTAAACAGGAAAGTTACATGTGCTTGTGCATACAGCGTTCATTGGTACTGACACAAGTTCTTTCCCAGATTCATAGTGAGGAACCAATGCAGACACATCTCACTGCGGGGCAGAGTTTTAGTCCTTGAAGATCAAAGGAGTTATACACAACTATAAATGGGCAGCTGTCTTTAGCCAAGACAGTTTATATATGCAGTGTGCACACAGCAGAATTCCTGTCATCCTTGTTGCCATTCCAACTCCTTGGTTTTCTTCGTCAGTGAGAAAAGAAACATTCCCCCAGTTGCCCAACACAGAACATTGACATTAATGGTTTGTTTGTTGTTATTGTGTTGTTGTTGATTTGGTTTTTTGAGAGAGGGTCTCATGTATTCCAGGATGGCTTCAAGCTCACTATGTAAGGGAAGATTACCTTTACTATGTCATTATCCTGCCTCCACCTCCCAAGTGCTAGGATTGTAGGTGTGTGCCACCATACCAGGTATCTGCAGTGCAAGGGATCAAACCCAGGACTTTGAGTATGCTAAACACACACTACCAACTAAGCTACCTTTCCACAACTCAACATTACTTTTGATAGTAACTTCTTCCTTGTCCCTTTTCCAACAAATTGCCAACTCAAGTCAGTCAGTGTTGACCACATGATAACTCATGTTTAACTGCTTTCTGTCATTATGCCCATACTTGAGTGGAGCAACAATCATCACCTCATACCTGCACAAATTCTCATAGTTCCTTGTTAGTCATGTAATCCTTTCCCCATGCTATATCTAGGCTAGCAAAGGAGATGGAAAGGTAAAATGCCCCCTCTGTCCCCAGGATAAAGACTAGTCCCACAGTAAGTGTCTGAGATCTTATACAAGGTGGTTCCACCAGACATCCCTAGTTAGTGCAATGCCCTATGCATCTCTCTCTAGCCACATTCACTGTCTCACTTAGTGGGCTTCCAATGCTCTTCCCTTGCCTTCTAGACTATTCCTTTTTTTCTTTTTCCCTTAAATGCTTCTTTCAAACAGGTGTCATATCTCACAAGTCAACCCCTCCACTCACCACAATGTGCTCAGTGGATGGATATTATATTTGTGGTGAGTAAATTCATTTGATTATCTAGCTTTCTCTAAAGGATGGAAAAAATCAAACAACTCTAAATAATAAATGCCACTCAAGCTGCAAGGTTAGGTACTTCCTGGGTTATCATTGTATGAAAATACAACCAACAAGAAAAACTGATATCTGTGTCACAGTTGTGTCCCTGATTTAGTTTATTATCAGTGAGCAAAACCAGTGACAATTCCAAGGTGTCTTTAAGTTAAGGGACCAATACCTAAACACAGAATATGAAAGGAGGTCAGTCTGATTATTAGGTTCTGAGACACTGGTGGAATAAAATGATGCTCATTTTGGATCTCAGGGGTACCAGCCCTCAGGAGCCCCACCACCACTATTTCTTTTCTTTCCTTCTTTTATTGAAAATAGATTGTTTTCTCACTTAATATATCCTGATTATGATTTCTCCTCCCTTGACTCCTCCAAGTTCCTCCCCTACCTCCCTTCCCATTCAGATCCACTGCCTTTCTGTCTCTTATTAGGATAGAACAGACTTCTAAGATATAATAGTAAAATGTAACAAAATAAAGCATAATAAAATAAAACAAAAAGATCACATCAAAGTTGGACAATACCAACCAAACAGAAGGAAAAGAGCCCAAGAGAAGGCACGTGAATCAGAGACCCACTCGTTCACACATTCAAAAATCCCATAAAAACACGTAACTGGAAGCCATAATAGATATGAAGAGGACCTGGTGTGGATCTGTGTAGGTCCTGTGCATGCTGCTTCATTCTCTGTAAGTTCATATCAGCTTTGCTCACTGATTTAGAGGGCCTTGTTTTCTGGGTGTCCTCCATTCCCTCTGGTTCCTACACTTTTTCAACTCCTTCTTCTGTGGGGTTCCCTGAGCTGTGAGGGAGGGATTGGAGGATTGGAGGGATTTGATGGAGAAATTACATTTAGGACTGAGTGTTCCAAGATCTCCCCACCCCCAACCCGTGCATAATGTCTGGCTGTGGGTCTCTGTATTTGTTCCCATCTGCCACAGGAAGAAGTTTCTCTGGGGATGGCTGAAACAAGGCACTGATCTGTGAGTATAGCAATATATCATTCAGAATCATTTTATCACTATTTTTTTCTCTAAAGACCAGCAGTATTCAGTTTTCCATTAGGTCCCTGGAATGTCTAGTCTTTGATTATTGGTCACCCAAACAGTGTTGGATATGAGGTCTATCTCATGGAGTGGTCCTTAAGTCAAATCAAATATTGGTTGGTTACTCCCACAAGCTTTGTGTGACAATTACCCTACCAAATCTTGCAAACAAGACACCATTGTAGTTCTACGTAGTTACCAGATAACCTTTTCCATGTTCAATGAGTTGTGTAGGTGTTGTCTTCAGCAATGTTGCCTTGCTGTCAGTTTGTGAAAAACAACCTATTGTCTTTGCAGCAGCCTGGATAGTTTGGGGATTCCACAGGACCCCATTGGCAAGCGACTCAATTAGATGTAACCAAGCCCTGTTAGTAGAAGCTTCATTTGGTGACAAGAGATGGAAACTTTTTATCCCCCATTATTTGGTGATTTTATTTAGATCATCTTCATATGGATATATTTTAGGAAGTTTCTACTTTATTTAGTTTCCATATTATCCCTCAAATGCCCCTAAATTTTAGTTATGTCTTCCTGTATTCCTTCTCTTAACCCCTTCTTCCCTCCCCCTGCCCACTTTATCCTCCCATTCTAGTCTCCCCCTACCCCATCCATCCATAATTATCTATTCTATTTTCCCTTCTTAATGAGGTCTGTCTGTACCCTGTGGTCCCTTACTCTATACCTATCCTCTGTAATTCTATAGATTGGAACTTAGTTATCATTAACTTAACAACTAATATCCACATGTAAGCAAATGCATGCCATATTTGTCTTTCTGGGCCTGAGATACCTCACTCAGGATGATTTTTTTCTAGTGCCTTCCACTTGCCTGCAAATTTTATAAGGCCATTTTTAAACTGCTGATTAGTAATAAGTTGTGTAAATGTATCACTTTATCCATTCTTCTGTTGATGAATATCTAGATTGTTTCCTATTTCTGGCTATTATAAATACAACAGCAGTGAATATTGTTGATCAAGTAAGTGTCTTTGTTGTAGGATAAAGCATCCTTTGGGTATATGCCCAAGGGTGGTATAGCCACACTGATTTCCATAGTGGCTGTATAACTTTGCAGTCCTACCAGCAATAGACTAGTGTTGCCTTTACTCTGAATCTTCACCAGCATGAACTGTCACTTGTTTAATTGATCTAACCAATTCTGATGAGTGTAAGATGAAATCTCAAAGTAGTTTTGATTTGCATTTCCCTGATGAGGAAGGATGTTGGACATCTCCTTAAGTGTTCCTAGGCCATTTGAGTTTCCTCGTTTGAGAATTCTCTGCCTAAATCTGTACCTAACTTCTTTTTTAATTCAGTTGTTTTCTTGTTATCTAGTTTTGTTTTTGAGTTCTTTATATATTTTGCATATCAATCCTCTATTAGATGTGGAGTTGGCATAAAAACTCATTTCCCATTCTGTAGACAGCTGATTTGTTTGAATGTCAGTGTCATTTGCCATTCAGAAGCTTTTCAGTTTCAAGAGGTCCCCTTTATTAGTTGTTGATCTTAGTTTCTATGCTGTGTTCTGTTCAGAAAGTCTTTTCCTTTTACAGTGAGTTCAAGGCTATTCTTGGACTTGCTCTTCTATTGGATTCAGTGTATCTGGTTTGATTTTGAGGTCTTTGGTCCATTTGGAGTTGAGTTGTGGTCAGGGTGATAAGTATGAATCTACTTGGATTCTTCTACATGCAGCCATTCAGTTCGACCAGCATCATTTGTTGAAGTTGCTGTCTTTCCAAGATTGTGTTTCTGGCTTCTTTATAAACAAACAAACAGGTGCCCATAGGTGTATGGATTCTTGTCTGGATCTCCAATCCAATTCTATTGGTCTACAAGTCCTTTGTGCCAATACCATGCTGTTTTTATTACTATAGCTTTGTAGTACAACTTGAAATTGGGGATGGTGATATCTCTGGCAGCTTTTTGTTTTGTTTAAATTCAGTATTGTTTTAGCTATCTGGATTTGTGTGTGTGTTAACATATGAAGCTGAGAATTAACTTTTCAAGATGTGTGAAGAATTGTGTTGTAATTTTGATGATGTTTGCATTGAATTTGTAAATTGTTTTT